ACATTCTCCACAGGACTGTGTAGCATGTGTCTGTATGAACTGCTGAGCAGTAAATGGCAGCGACTGCAGAATCAGCTCCATGTGACACAACTTGAAACGTGTAACCTCGCTGATGTCAGCAAAGTCCTGCAGTGTGATTAAATGCTTAAAAGCGATCCTTGTAACATGTAACTGGCTGCACTTTCACCCAAACCAAAGTCTTTTGCTAAACTTAACAGTCGTTGGTGCCACAGTGAGTGACTGAGGTCTCCTCCAACCTCTAAATGTGGACTTTGTTCCTCCCTCTAAGAACTGAATCCTGACTTCACCAACACTGAACAGAAGATTGTCGGTGGAGGACGTCCTATCTGTTGATATGTAGATGAGTCAAGTGATAACGCCTACCGAACATGCAAACTCACTGAATTTGAAGTTTGAAGGAAATGTCAGAGCATCCAGGATCAGCAAGACTTATCATCAACCCTGCAGGCTCTGTGGTCAGAACATTACTGAGGAACCAAACCAATCTCAGGTGTACGTACAGCTGGTCAGGTCGGGGGGGCTGTATCGGTCAACCGAGTGGATGTACTGCGAGGTGGGCGTGGCCACTTTCAGGTAGACCACCTCCCCGGTGTTCTTCAGGGCCGACACAGCGTCTTCATGCAGGATGTCCTCCAGAGAGACATGGTTGACCTGCCAGGATCAGAGCTTAGGTTAGAACACCGTCCAGAAAGTTCTGTTTCAGTCAGTGCATGGTGAGGTCACCTACCGCCAGAATTTTGTCGCCGATCTGCAGCCGTCCATCGCGGTGCGCTGCTCCACCCTCGATGATCTTGGTGACATAGATACTGTTGTCTCCAGGAACATGTTGGTTTCCAACACCGCCGGCTATACTAAAGCCCAGACCTGGACCGGACAGGGACAGAACTGGCTAGCTTAACACTGAAATATTATCACTGGTTCTGGAACCAGAAGAAATGATCCAAGCTCTGTGTGATCCAGAACCACAATGAGTCTGATGAATTCTTTACAGCAGCATCAAGTTTCAGAAGCACGTAGAACAATCAGACAACCTTTAAAATGTATGTACAGGTTCACAGGTATGCAGGAACATTTCTCATTGGTTCTGTTAAGCAAAGCAGTAGAAACACAAACTTTTGTAAGATATCTGGAGCTCAAACAGCACTCCTTCATGAACATTCTCAAATCTGAAGAGGAGTTTTAGGCTTTGAAGTACCAAAGAACTTTATCAGGAATAAAAGAGAGGCAGTAGGATCAATAAAGGAACATACAGGTTCTGCAGTGTGACGTTTCTCAAAGCATCACCTGAATCCAGGTTCTCCATTGGTCTTCAGGTCTAACAGCATTCTTCAGAGTAACAGTTTTGTACGTAAGATACCTGTTACCTTATAAAAGGTGTGTTTAATGACCAATAAGGCTTTGACCACTGTTCCCTTCTTACGGTTCTACATCATCTAGAACCACTAGAAAATACTTCTCAAGTGTATAGATTTTATTCTGTAACATGTAAAAGTGCTATATATAATATCTCCTATAAGTAAACATATAAACACACAAAGAAAAAACCTAAGACGTCCAGTAGAGGGCGACAGAGTGAAATTATTTGTTACATAACAACTAAACTCCTGTGTTCTACCTTTAGGTCCCTTCATGAGTTTGATCTGTGTGACACGTTCACTTGGTGGGCGTCGCCTCAGCACGTACAGCCGGACCACAGGCCCCGCCTCCTTCAGCGCTTCCACGGCGATGGAGTGAGTGACCTCACGAACGTCCACATCATTAACGAAAACGATGCTGTCGTTCACTCTGCAAACAGAATTAAAGGCTCTGATGGTGTCGTTAAGGGTTCTGATGGTGTAGTGAAGGGTTCTGATG